TGATTTAAACATTGAGTGTCTTATGTAAATTGTGAAACTTAGCATGCTAAATATTTATTCGCATGCGAGTTTGCAACATATACGAGGGATTTGGCCTTGACACTTTTCGCTTTACCAATTAACTTGAGGCAAAAGTCAAAGGCCCGACTTGGGAAAGTTTCCTCACTCACCACTTGTTTGACATGTCTTAATTGAGTTGTCCACACTCTCCCAAGAGAGAAATGGGGAGGGGACCAATGAGAGAAAAGGTACATCAAAACTACCAAACAACAACAACAACAACATCAAGCCTTTATCCCACTATGTGGGGTCGGCTACATGAATCCTTTTTCTCCATTGTGTCCTATTAAAAGTCAAATTCTTGTTTAAATCTAATAAAGAAAGGTCATTCCTAATATTTTCTAACCAAGTCTTTTTAGGTCTACCCCTACCTTTCTTAACATAAGTCAAATCTAATACCTCTACTCTCCTAACCGGGTCATCGAAAGGCCGTCGTTTTATGTGGCCAAACCATCTAAGGCGACTCTCTCTAATTTTATCTTCTACTGGAGCTACTCCAACCTTTTCATGTATATGTTCATTTCGTATCTTATCTCTAAGGGTAAAGCCACTCATCCACCTGAGCATCCTCATCTCTGCCACACTTAACTTAGTATTATGCTTCTCTTTTAATGGCCAACATTCGGCACCATAAAGCATTGCAGGCCTCACTATCATCTTATAGAATTTTCCCTTAAGTTTGAGGGGTACATTTCTATCACATAACAAGCCCGATGCATTCCTCCACTTCAACCATCCAACTTGAATTCTGCTGATAATATCCCCATCTATTTCACCATCACTCTGAACAATAGATCCAAGATATCTAAAACGTGTACTCTTATTAATGACTTGATCGCCCAAAGTCACAATCCCCTCACTAGGACTATTACTGCTAAAATTACACTCCATATATTCCGTTTTAGATCTACTCAAGCGAAAATCTTTAGACTCTAAGGTTGACCTCCATAATTCAAGTTTACCTTCAACTCCCTCTCTAGTCTTGTCAACAAGAAGAATATCATCAGCAAAAAGCATACACCAAGGTACATCATCTTGCAAATGTCTAGTGAGAACATCCATGACTAAAGCAAATAGATATGGGCTTAAGGCTGATCCTTGATGTAACCCAACCGAAATAGGGAAATACTTGGTCAAACCACCTTGTGTTTGAACACATGTAATAGCTCCTGCATACATATCTTTAATGATTTGAATATAAGCATTATTGACTCCTTTCTTTTCAAGAACTCTCCATAGCACTTCTCTTGGAACTTTATCATATGCTTTTTCTAAATCAATAAATATCATATGTAGATCCTCCTTATTTTCTCTATATTTCTCCATCAAACCTCTTAATAAATGTATGGCTTCCATAGTCGACCTACCCGGCATGAATCCAAATTGATTTTGAGAAACATTAGTATCACGCCGCAACCTATGCTCCATAACTCGCTCCCATAGTTTTAAAGTATGACACATTAACTTAATACCTCTATAATTCGTGCAATCCTGTGCATCGCCTTTATTCTTAAAAATAGGAATTAATACACTCATTCTCCACTCATCTGGCATCTTTTTAGTCTTCAAAATAGTATTAAAAAGTTTAGTAAGCCAAGAAATCCCTTCATCTCCTAAGCATTTCCACACCTCTATTGGAATATCATCAGGTCCAACAGCTTTTCCACCCTTCATTTTCTTTAAAGCCTCTCTAACTTCAGTTTTACTAATACGCCGATAAAAACAGAAATCTTTACTTTCATTTAGGGTGCTAAGGTCACTATAGTCAATCTTATTTTCACACTCTTCATTAAAAAGTTTAGCAAAATATCTCATCCATCTTTGTTGAATATCATCTTCTAAGAAAAGTATTTTTTGATCTTCATCTTTAATACACTTCACTTGAACTAAATCCTTACTACTCCTATCTCTTTGTTTGGCTAACTTATACATATATCTTTCTCCCTCCTTAGTATTTAATCTATTATATAAATCGCTAAAAGCTAATGTCTTTGCATCGCATATGGCTTTCTTAGCATCCTTACGAGCAACTTTATATATTTCCCAATTATCGGAATTTTTAAAATTAAACCAATTTTTATAACAAATCTTCTTATTTTTAATCTTTTCTTGCACAATTGGATTCCACCACCAACTATTTTTACTATTAGGAGCTTTTCCCTTAGATACTCCAAGCACATCTTTTGCAATATTCTTAATATCACTAGCCACTTTTTCCCACATAATATTAGCATCCTCATGCACAGACAAAATCTTAAGATCTAAAATCTTACTCACAAAAATATTTTGGTTAATATTCTTTAAATGCCCCCATTTAATCCTAGAAAATTGTTTTACTTTATTTTTTATTTTATGCCCCTTTATCTTAAAGTCCAAAACTAATAATCGATGTTGGGTACATAAACTTTCACTCGGAATAACTTTACAATCTTTGCAATCTAAACGGTTTAATTTTCTAATAAGAAAATAGTCAATCTGGGTTGTACTATATCCATTTTTATAAGTGATGAGATGCTCATTCCTTTTCTTAAATAAGGTATTAGCAATTGAAAAATCATAAGCTAAACAAAAATCTAATATGGTCTTGCCACCTTCATTCGTCGTTCCGAATCCATGGCCACCATGAATGCTTTTAAAATCAACTACCTCTTTACCAACATGTCCATTTAAATCTCCTCCAATAAAAACTCTTTCTTCAAGAGGTATATTTTGTATTAATTCTTCTAAGTCATTCCAAAAATTTAATTTAGAACTCATATCCAAACCTACTTGAGGAGCATAAGCACTTATAATATTAACAATCTTATTCTCAACAACAATCTTTAAAGCTATAATTCTATCTCCAATCCTATTAATTTTTATAACATTATCCTTTAAACTCTTATCTATAATAACACCTACACCATTTCTAGTACGACTCCTACCCGAATACCAAAGTTTAAATCCTAAACTATCAATTTCCTTAGCCTTATCTCCAACCCATTTAGTTTCCTGAATGCACAAAATATTTAATTTCCTATGAATCATAATATCTATTAATTCCATTAATTTTCCTGTAAGGGAACCTATATTCCAAGTTCCTATCCTAATTTTAGTTTCATGGACTAGCTTCTTTGCCCACATCCGTCCTTGATGTGGGAACCCTTGCCTATTTAACACTGCACCCGGGCGCCGGTGCAGCGGCCCTTGCACACTTGCCACTGTATTCAGGCCATACAGCGCGTCGCTTCCAGGGGACGCCCTAGCATTAACACAATTTCTTAAAGGATTCATGTCATTATTGTTCGACAAGTTTTATGCTGGCTGTCGACTACTAACACTACCCTTGCCTATTTGTTTTCATCAGCATGGTCATTAATTGTCTTGGACTAGTAGTTTGTTCCCTGTGAATTTGTAGTGTTAGTTCTATGGTCTATATACCTCAGGTTACATATTCATTAAAAACCATAGAACCTAAAACATCTTATATCATACTAAGGTCATTTTTTGTCTCAAATAAGATAAAACGTACAGTTGACCATGATGGAAAATCAACAAACATTTATCACGGATTGCTGCTTCCTCATTTGAGTCTTCGGGTTCTCATACATCCAATGTTCCCTGCAATAGTATTTTTAATGAATCTAATGGACGAACAAAATTTATCCCGGATACTTGTAGCATTAAAGCATGGAGTGTTATTGCGCCATATCTATCAATTTAGTGTTGAAATACACCAACATTTATAATATCCTTGCCAATACTTCTCAGCAATATCACTACTCTATTCTGCATCCACGTGGAAATTAATAAATGACTGTTGTGCCATAGCATTTCACAAAGTTTCTACATGTGCCTGTAGCAGCACCAAAGACGTGGATAACAATAACTTAAAAATAATGATATCTTTAGTCAACGGCTTCCATTTTATCTTCATCTCTACAACAGCAAATGTACACCTAACAAGCCCAATAATTTAAATAAAAGTTGACTTTAAGCAGATAATAATAGCTAAATTCCAGGAATAAAGCTAATCAAGAGAATTGAGCAGCATCTATAGGTAAAATAATCTATTAAAAGAATGTCATCACGCTACAGATTGGCAGCAGCTAACAGATGAATTAGATCAAAGCTCAATAAGACTGCTACATGATAGTCCTAATACTTTTAAATGGTCAGCAAAATAATACGGCTTTCAGTGGAGAGCTCGAACCTGTAAATAGTGATAAATATATCTGGCACTGTTCCAACCATTGATCCACATATGTAAGGACAATATTGCACATTGGTAGCCACAGAAGCATAATTGAAAATAATATATGGAAAAGGAGAGACCCTTATCAATGTAACAGCACGAAATTGGTGAAACCAATCTCCTTCGCCAGCTAATCTCACAATTGCTGATTTATTTGGCCACCTCTCCAACCATTTCTGCATTTAACAAAATTTATATATATAAAAAAAAAAGTAAAACATGATTTATATACAAGGCAAGAAGTTATTTTCACATGAAATACGAAGAAATCAGAGAAGGATGAACTAACATGAATTTTGTGACGAAATGAAGAACCTATAAAATATGGCAATGACATGCCAATACTTGTTCCTGCCATAATAAGCAGAAATCCATAACCGTAGCCAAATGTCATCCCACCTATCCACATGGATGGAGAAGAAGGGAGGAAAGCTGCTGGGAAAAACGCAATGGACGCAAAAATTAAAAGCCCCAGAGTTGGTATGCTGAATGTTGATGCTTCCCATTCCAGAATAGGAATAACTACCTGATAAGATCATCTTGAAAGCATGAGAGAGTAGCATAAAGAGGACAATGAAACTTCTCAAAAATATAAATGCCGCATCTTTCACCTCCAACTCATAAGTAGAATTGCTATTAGAGTTTGATTTAGTAACAATCTTGAATTCAAGTAATGCTGCCATGGTGGCGCTCCTATTTACCAATTAATATATCAAGCATAGAGTACCATGTACACCTAGACAATAGGTCTAAGAGGTACCATGCCTTGAAAAACTCAGGCAAGGATCAATGGTCCACCAAATAACAAGATAATATCTCTTCTGAATTCAAAATAGATACTATGACAACCTCATCATCAGCATTGTACCAACCATTTAGGTCAGTATTCACACCTACTGAGTATTACATTACTAGTTAATTCTATACTTCACAAGAATTTCTACATAACTTCTTGCCTTATCTTTTTGTCTACCATTTTCCTTTCATACTCTTAACACATTAATTCTATCTATTTGCCTTATTGGTGAATCTTATGTTCTTCATTGTACATAATAAAATCATGCAATTCTAATTTCCACTACCTTGTCATCAATACGAGCTAGAATGCATGCACAACTAAGCAATAGAAGGTCTAAGAACTAACATACGAGATCAAGCTCAGACAAGGATCAGCAATCCACCAAAATAACAAGACAATAAATCTTTTTAATTTAAACTATATAGACATCCTCATAATCAGCATCATACAAACCATTTGGGTTTGTCTAAGAAGTCAACCTTCTTCAATCCTACTAAATATGTTTGTCAATTGTGAATACAACACTTTTTACATAAAGGTACCCACGGATCTATAACGCATGGCATATGGTACGGCATGAGTTATTTTAAATATGGCTAAAAATATTCTAAATTTGTTGATTAAAATGTAGTTACATACAAAAGATTACTAAATTGAAACATCATGATAATAAAAAACAATACTAAAATGCATACACTAAAAATTTTTGAACAACTAAGATGAAAGAGTAAGAGGGACATTCGTGAGTTTGCAATGCGTAGCGTGATGTCTTGCTTGATGTGAGGCTTGCAAGACCATGAAAGAGCTTTTATAGAAGTTAAAAATAAATAATATAAACCTTAATTTATAACATTTAATCATCTAAATTAAAATAACATGCACTATGGGGGCTATGCGTCATGCACTATGGATCATGCATAGTGCAAATTGGGCATGCTACTTTAATTCCATGTGTCGTGCTATAAAAATAGCACAAGGGTCTGCCATGCCATGTTATACATCAAAGCGTGCACTACTTTGAACTATTGACACATTTTTAGATTTTTTCTATCCATTTTCAGCTTTTTTTTTCTATCCATTTTCCTTCATACTCCTTCAAACATTGAATCTATTTACCCTCCTTATCATTGAATCTTTTGTTCTTCAGCATACAAAATGAAATTATATAATTATATTTTTCAATATTTTATCATCAATAAGAGTTATTAACACTCCCATATCTCTTAGTACACAGAATATTTATCTTAACATTATCATTTATATCACTCAACTAGGCTACTAATGATATATTTGTTCCCCAACACTCAAGTCATACAATAACCAATCTAATTACAGTTCCATGAATTCACCTTTACCTACCCATTAAAATATCCTATAACATAGCACTCATGAAACCCATCTCCATGTTAATCACCAATATTTTACTCTAGTATTCAATTCCTCGTCTATAATCCATTATTTTGTAAAATAGATAAAATAACCACACCCAGTAATCACTATTTGTGTAAAATTGACCAATGATTATCACTTCATATATATATCAAGTTCCAAACATTTGTTCTATTAATACTAAGCCTCTTAAATTATAAAGAATTTCTTTAATGCTCTAATTTTTTTCTTACCCAGGAAGTCTCACTTATGAATTGATGTGAGAGTGATAAAATAATATGTACATTATATATAAGTTATGCATATGCGTATATTTTACAATTATTAAACAATGAGAGCTTAATGCATAAAATAATATAAACATAACAATATGTTTATGTACAGAAACAAATATTAGTTAATATATTAAATATGCATCTAAATAATATACACTATTGTTATTCTATTCAAATTTTGGAATAAACCAAGCACAATTTAGACTTGAATGGAAAATCAATCCCAACCCATCCATGCAAGGTTTGTGTAGGCAGTCCAATTTAGGGGGCTCATTCTTTAGTCCACGTTTTGAACCAAAGGGTCTTGCACCTAAGGGGTGCACACGATGATAAAATTTTATGAAAGATGATTATGGAACCCCCCCCCCCCCCCCCCCCCCCCCCCCCCTTTACCACAAAAAAAGTCATCCTCCTTATGTTTGAGACTGATACATTTGGGGCATTTTTCTTAAAAAAAAAAATCTCTGCTGCTTCCCCTAAAATAATAATAAAATGAATAAAATGCACCAACCAAGCAATCTTGTGTTGGAGATAATTGTTCTTAGGGTATATTTATTATAATCTACTTTGGAAATTGTTTCGCCGCATAAGTCGCGGTCAGATATAAAATGCATTTAAACAGCATAATGATCTATTTTGATACAACACAAAATACAAGAATTTTGTAAATATGCTATCTTTTGGTCTATTTGCAGACCAACATGAATGTGGATCAAGATAATTTGATTTTCTAACCATTTAACCCAGGTCAATTCAAACTAAGAATTAGTCGGTTCGCAATTGAAGGTTTTCAAACTAATAATGGAGCAAGTTGAATCATAGATTGTTCTCAATAAATATTTGTGCTGAACAACATAACTTAAAGTTTTAAGTCCTAACACTCAACACAATGTTACCACCGTCACAAACCCCATGAGCCATAATGATACTGAAAATTTAACTTCTAGTCCTTATAATTTCTACAGATTTATAATAGAAAAAACTACAACATGAATAAAGAAATGAGACGGACCTTTCTAATGACCACCGGGCCAGCAAATATAACTAGAGCTGCCGCAGCAGCCCCCAAAACAATGCATAGGAAAACAACCTTCATCCACCATAGTAGGGAACCCCAATTTCCATTATTAGTCAATTGCACTTGCACTTCCGATTCCTCATGATAACTTTGTGGCAACCTCACAAAATCTCCACTCGCGTCTCCCATTCCCCCCATCGATTCCTCCAACAATATATCATCAATGGATTTTGTCCGATAAGTCAACAACCCCGAAGAGGAACACGCTTCAATCGGAGATTTCTCAGTCAAACCCTAAACGAAAAAGAATCAGTAACGGAAGTGAACCCCTGAAACGTCGCTTTCCACTTGCAGTATCCTTCACCTTCAAGTCTCCGCCAAAGGAAGGAAACCCTAGATCTCAAAGGTCAGCGGCATGAAAAAAACCAGACAAGAAGAGAGTCGGAGAAGCACCGGCATTGATATCGAGAATGGGTAATCGAATGGTCGCAGCTACAAAAGACCGGAAAGGAAAGGAGGAAAGACAGAGAGAGAGAAACAAAGCGGTGAGTTCAACGGAAGATGAAAAGATTTCAAATACAACGAGACGGGACGAGACGAGACCTTAGAGAGACCTCCCGAATTAACATTATTAACCTAGCAATAACATACGAAAGAGGTCGGAGTCCCAAACTCTAGTCTATGCCAAGGGTGATCTGATAAATCCTACGTTTTTTTTTTATTTCGGGCCCATGGCAGTAGACCCGACCTGATGGCCCGTATTGGGGAAAGACTGATAAATAGGGGTGTAAATTGGTCTAGCCGAGATTATTACTGCTAACTTGATTAATTCTTTTATATATTAAATGAATGTATTTGAAAAACAATTAATTATAAATGAGTAAATTTTAGCATGATTGATTTTTTTAATGCTTTTAAGTGTTCCAAATTTTAACACTAATCCGAATAAAATTGAGTGCATCATATGTTAGAATATTATTAAAAACGATAAGTGATACTTTTTGAATATGTTTGATTTCAATTGCTAGTTGGCTAACTAACTTTAATTTGACCTAAGCTTAATATCGACACAATTAACCCCAATCTTCAATCATTGAATCTAAAGCTTTATTTTGGCCAGCTTGTAACCATTATTTTTTGCTACTTTCAAAAGAAGTTATACTAAAAAAACTGTTTTTTTTTTTAATTATCCCAAACAAAATCTAAATTAAAAAGCCGCTTTAAGTAGTGAAAAAACCGTCCCAAACGAAATCTTAATCAATTTTATGAGATTAGTTTTAAAAATAACCTAATGAACCCCAAAGAAAGAACATCAGCTTTCCTGCAATAAATGAATTACATTGATTGACATCTTACATTTTCCAGGGCTGAGGAATGCAAAACATGTTCAAAATAAGTACCCTACCAACTACAACTACACCCATATTCCTCCTACTCATAAGATACCAGTTCTTCCTGCTCGAAAAAAACCCCCCAACTTAGGCAAATAAAGACCAATACATCATAAAAGCTCACCCATGCAAAGCTCCATTTCCTCCTCCCACTAAATAGCATCAGCTTTCCTGCAATAAATGAATTACATTAATTGACATCTTACATTTTCCAGGGCTGAGGAATGCAAAACATGTTCAAAATAAGTACCCTACTAAACTACAACTACACCCATATTCCTCCTACTCATAAGATACCAGTTCTTCCTGTTCGAAAAAACCCCAACTTAGGCAAATAAAGACCAATACATCATAAAAGCTCACCCATGTAAAAGCTCCATTCCCTCCTCCCACTAAATAGCAGAATTACAGAAATTCTAATACTTGTCGTTCACTTGATAGTGATGTACCTGTTCGTTCCATGCTTAGCCCAGTGATCCTTAAGGTCTAGTGGAGAAGACAGATCATGGCCCTCCGCCGCCAATCTGCTAAGCAACTTCGTAAAAGCGCTGCCGCTCATCTTCCGCCCTGCAACTCGGGCATGCCGCTTGTTCGGCATCACCGGAAGAGGGTACATCGAAAGTGTTGTCGTGCAGCACGCCGATTGCCATCCGCCGCTCCCCCACTTGTAGCACTGTTGTAGCTTCCCCGTGCATGAGCACGCCGGCGGCGGCATGGTCGACTCGTCGAACGTCACCAGGTTGAGACCAAGATCCTGGCCCTTCCACTCATGGTGCTTTGTTACTATGGCCTGTTTGTTCAGGTCTTCACCGCCTCCAATAACACTACCCCTCCACTGGTTAAGTGGCTTCACCACAGTTATTTGCTTATTCAAATCCTCAGCACCAGTGACCCTCTTTCCTTTCCTGGAGGCCTTTTTTGTTGGATTAGCAGCTTGAGGTTTCGTATCCTTTCTTGACCGCTTAGCTTTTCGAATCTTTACGATACCATCAGGAGCTGTGGAGATTGGGTATGCCTCAGTAAGCTGCATCTCTCTTCCATGAATGTATGGGGAGTCGGACAACTGTGGAGGGGGGTGCTGCAGGTGCTGTTGATGCTGATGGAAGTGCTTTGTCCCACGCGGAGCGGAACATCCAGGCGGACATGCAGAGCCATTGTCGCCATTCAAGCTGTTTTCACGAGCATACTCCAATGCTGCGAGGGCATTGTCTCGTTCGATTACAGCAGAGTTTCGCTCGGCAATGACTGCATCGCGCTGGAGAATAGCCATGTCCCTCTCGGCAAGAGCAGCTTTCTTCTCGGCAAGGGCTATGTTGCGCTCTTGAATTGCATTGTCCCGCTCCGCCATGATAGCCATCACCTTCATGGTATTATGACCATCTTTCATCTGGTGTTGAGGCATCATCCACTGTGATCCAACAAAACCAAATGGAAATTATGAAAAAATCAATCTTCATTGTCTATATTGATTAGTTGGAAAGCAAAACAAGCACAAATTTTAAAACAGAAAATTTTAGGGAAGTACGAGTTTATTTGAATCATCTTCTAGAACAAGAATAAGTTCAAAGAATCAGCACCAAATCAAGATTTAAAACAGATTTTGAATTAAACTTTCGATTAAACTGTTATAAATAGGAGAGCGAAAAATGGAGCTTGAGTGTGTTTCAGGGTCACAGCCAACTAATGCAGAGAAAAATAATTTCCAACCATATTACCTGATTCCATGAACTTTACTGCTTTATGTTGCATTTGCTAATAAGTATAAAGAAATTTTGTTCGATAATATGCAATTTAGGTTATAATGAAGGAACGCATCAATGCATTGGAAGGATCATCTTTTAGGGACAAGGTAGCCAGTCTCAATAGATCGATATTTTGAAGAGTGTACAATGCAAATAATTGAAAGCCCAGTAAGGCCACCATCTGAAATAAATGTCAAAGGCTGTAAATTAAAACAGATAAGCCATTGTTAACTTAGATGTTAGAATTATCTCACATTTAACATGGCTCTAGATGAGAATGGCAGAAGAAGTTAAAAGCTCATTCTAGACAATCGAGATAAGTCTGCGGTCAAACAAGAATAAATGGTTAAAGAAAATTGAAAGGTCGGTCCCAGAAAGCGAGGATAAACCTACTGCGGATGATGAGTTGTCCAACCATAGGACATGTTGATGGCTATGGAGATCAGAAGATTAGCGTAAATTGATGAAGACATCAACAAGAGATTTTGGCGTGTTTATCAGATGAGGCATCGGAGATCAACGGCCACGATCAGGAGCCTTTACTTTTGATGCATTTTTATGTATTGTTTATTTTCATATTTCAGTTTTCCTACTTTACCCCTATGGGGAATTAGTTTGCTTTTGTAGCCCTATGGGCATTCTAATCTTTTTTTATTTTGTCATGATGAGGCCTATATATAAGGGCTCTTTTCTATTGTATTGAGGATGATTTGATGAATAAAATTTTGAGCTTTTCTCTTCTTCATTGTTGCTCTGAGAGAAGGAAGAGATCCCTAAGTGAGGGTGATTGCAATACCGTCAGCCTTTGGAAGAGTCTGAGGCTCACGGTTCATCATTGTTCTTTCTCTTCCCCTACATCCAGTCACCTTCCCTTCTCCCAACACCCGCCGGCCTACTCTCCCCCCACCGTCCCCTCCTTCCCACAACCTCTAGCCGCCGCCCCATTGGGCACCCCCTTGCCGTCGACTACCCTCCAAGTCCCCCGCGAATTTTGAAATTCAAAATTCAAATTCCCTCATTCAGTTTCCTAAAATAAGTCCCTTATTGATTAGGAAAGTTTCCTACTTAAATTCAATTTATTATTCTAAATTAAACACTTTCCTTATTGATAAACTAATTTAGGAAAACTCTTTATTTAAATCAAATCTGAAATTAAATTAGATATTTGATTTCAATTCCTAATTTAATTCAGAGGCCCACGTGCATTGAATTGAGATCGTCTCCCTCTCCCCATATGGCCAGCCCCCTTCCCCTTTCCTATTCTCTCTCCAATCCAATCCCTAAGCCTAATTAAATGCCTATTAACTCCTAAACCGCCAGCCCCACTATAGTTATTTTTGGGAATAGTTTGGAGTCTAAATTACTCTTTCCCCTCTTAGAAAATTCTGAAATAAACTTCAGATTTTCTAAGTCCTTTTCCCCACCTCCCTAGCCCTCCCCTCTCTTTTCCGTTCTACCCAAGAACACCGCCGGTTCCTCCCCTCCCTTCTTCCTTCACAAACCCCCGGCTCCTCCATGGTTCACAATAAAGAAGACTCCCATATTCATGGATGGCTGATCCTGAAGTCGATCACGGAGTTGCGTACAATTCTCAAGACAAATTGATATCCTTCAGTCGCCCTTCTTTGACCCAGTCTGGGAGTTTGAAGATTCCGTCGAAGACTACGTACATTGGTAACATCGCATACTTTTTCATCTCACCGAGACGATCGACGAACAACGACCATCCGGACAGTGGCAACTCGTAGGATGTCCACCTGTGCCTCCTTCTCCGGCTACCTTCCCGTGGATCAAAACTGTCGGCGTCGTAACTTTCTTGGTGGCATCGTTTGGTGTGCTGAAGATCTCTCTCCGCTAAAGCCTCTCATAGAGTATTAATGAGAAAGGAAATTCTAGGTGAAAAGCTCTAAATATTAACCCGTGGATTATTATTATAGCACATTTAATTTTATTGTATTTCTGATATTATTTTAAGTTGTTTTGTTCTCCTAAAACTGTAACAGCATGCCAAAACAAAATGTCAATAGATAATTCCTAAAATTAATTCCTGTGACTCATTAATTTTAAAGTAGCAAGCTTACAATAATTTTATTATTTCCTTGCAATTCATGTTGGTTTCACATCATAAATAGATTGCCATAACCTACATGAAACTAATAGCAAAGATATGTGATGGATATGGAGATCAGTTAATATGTGTGAGATGCTTCATCATGTCCTTATAGGCTATAGCATAATTTAGTACAAGTTAATGAGGGTATGCTGAGAAAGATATTCTTCTGTGATGCATCAACCATACCTGAGCGTGAACTGCTTTATAATGATCTGCCTTGTGCCTTCCATTTTCCCTGTGCCCGTTATCATCCATTTTCGCACCCAATAATAGCAAAATACTGTTGGCAGCTGCTCAATCAGCAATAAAATAAACTGTCAAATTAACTTCTTTTCCAGAAAGAATGCTTAAAGGAAAAACAAAAAACAAAAAGTTTATCTTAATATTCCCCAAGATTGAGAAGAAATAACACTACTAGGCGTTGATATAAATATCGAGATAAAAAAGCAGTTAACACTATGCAGACACGTGCATGCTAGTTAGAGTTCACATGTACAAAGTGGAGGCAGATTCCATGCCAAAAGTTGGGATAGTAAGAATAAAAGAAATCTAGTGTAAGAGAATAGAAAATAAAATTTTAATAATCATGAATACAAAAATATCTAGAATTAGATAACGATTAGCAAGGAAAACTAGAGTGGAATCAATATCGGAAACATAAAAGTAAACAACAAAATAATACGGACAAATAAAGTTAAATAAAAAAAGCTTTAAAAAGATAAAATTAATGGTGAAAGTCAAACAATTCGTTAAAAAAGGACCCATTTAGCTACTTTTTTTTTTGGGTGATCATTTCAAAGAGTTGTTTTGGTTATATGAGAAATATGCTTAAAGTTTTAATATTTCTTATTCTGCTCACTGTCTACTGCTTCTTGAACATATGAGCAAATTTGTAAATTACACATATTTCGTTATAACACGTTATGCTTTTATTTCATACAAAACATAAAAAACACAACATCAGCTGTGCCAAACAAAGACTAAGTTGGTTTGGATACCTTTCTTAAACATTTCCTGTCAAATTTGTTCAATAGATAACTCAAATTATTTGTGGAGTCTTTAAGAAAGATGAGTCAGAATAATACATGAGAAAAATTATAATAAGATATTTAAAATTTGTAGAAGAATGGCTAAGTAGGTCGTATATGCAATTTTAGTATATATTGAAACAAAATTGTTTGATAAAATAAAAAGATTGTGAATCAAGTGATACGGAAGTGTAGTAAGCTCAGATAGCTTAGATACAACAATAATATCAAGCCTATATCCCACTGCGTGGGATCAACTATATGAATCTTTTTTCTCTATTGTATCTTGTTAAAAGTCGAATTCTTATTTAAATTTAATAAAAAATGTCATTTCTAATATTTCTAGCCAACTCGTTTTAGGTTTACTACTAACTTTGTTTAACATAAGTCAAATCCAATACATCTACTCTCCTAACCTGACGTCGGAAAGCCGACATTTTATGTGTCCAACCCATCTAAGGTGACTCTCGCTAATCTTATCTGCCACTAGAGCTACTCCAACCTTTTCACGCAAATACTCATTTTGTATTTTGTCTCTAAGAGAAGTCACTCAACCACTTGAGCATCCTCATCTCTGCAACACTTAATGCTTCTCTTTTAATGACCAACACTCTGCGCCATAAAGTAGCGTAGGTCTTACCACCATCTTATAAAATTTCCCCTTAAGTTTGAGGGGTACTTTTCTATCACACAACATGTTCGATTCATTCCTCCACTTCAACCATCCAACTTGATATCTACTAATAATATCCTCATCTGAACGATAGACCCAAGATATCTAAAACGTGTACTCTTATTGATGACTTGATCACCCTAAGTCACCATCAAGGAGGTATTTTACTTAAATGCCCCCAAAGAAATGAACTTCTATGGTTATATCCACTAATTTAAAAGGCCATGGACCAAATTGGCTCAATTTATAATAGTCGAGGGACTAAAATAGGGCAATGCAAAACTCTGGGACTAAATTTGTCATTTATTGATAGTTAGGGGACTATTTAGAACTTTTACTCATGGTAATATAGGGGTTAAGGGAAATAAATATTAAATTATAGATATGAAATTGGAACTCAAGCATATATGCAGCATCTTAAATGATTTGAAACCCAATAACAAGCACAATTTAGGGCCATGGAATTATATTTTGCATAAGCATTTTCAACCATATACAAAAAAATATTCTCTTTACATATGCCTGCACACGGAAATAAGAGATTCATGCCACAAGCTAACAGGATTTAAGTAGAGATAGAAAATTTCAATTTTGCATGTAGAAACAAGAACAGCTTATCATCCAAAACTTTGTGTTTGCCAACGAGAATTCTATAGTTGCTCCCACAAGGAACATTTTGTATTGATGAGAATAAAACAAAGTATTTATTGAACTTCACAACTGATAGGCTTGTGCTAAGACTTATAAAAGGGGGAGACGCTTGTTTTCATGACAAAATTTATGACGTTTAGAGAAGAAGTTTGTTTTGTCACAAAATTTAGAGATTCTCCAAAGGTCGCAGACATCTACTTCTTAAGCCAGACTGCCTCATTCCAAAAGAAAATATATTGTTCAAAACTAATTCAGGTGATGCCTTCAGGATGTGAAACTAAATGCATTCAAACATCCATATGGTTTCTTTTGCATCCATTGGAAAAGGCAAGTCATATGAGCTCAATATCAGAATCGAATAGACCAACTACTGGAGCCTCACAACTGTTAAACAAATATGTCATCTTATATATATATATATATATATATATATAGTAAAAGCTGTAGGAGGGGGCTGGACATTTCTTTCTAGTTCTAGCTCCACATTTTTTACAGCAATGCCAATCCTATTTTATGCTTAGATAAAGTTGAGGTGGCAGTGTAGCATTCCCATGCATAGAGAATTAAAAAAGAGCTTAGAAAGCTGATGTAAGAAAATGCTGAAGGAAAAAAGGTGAGCGAACCACAGCTTATGTGCCATGACTCATTCCTTTATATTTGGCTTTATGTAACCCCTAATGCTTTCAATGAAAATTCCTTTACAGTTTACTATGTATTATTTTTAATTTTAACTGGGAACAAACATTAACATTTTCTATAATTCAAAACAAGGTAGGGTGGCTACTTCAAGCTGTCCTTGAAAGTAACTATTATACTAGCAAAAATATTTACAATTACTAATGGATCTTTAGATAATTTAGTGTCCCATTAGTACTTGACATAACATGTTTTGTTTCTTCTTAAAGCTCATTTGTCTGCCCAAAAAAATTGAAACAATTTATATTCATAACTTCTTACCTTTTTATTAACTAAATGTTGCTCATGAGAGTACAATAAAAAAATATTATTTATTTTTAAAGTATAAATTAACCTACAAAGAAATGTGGCTAAAATTTCATTGTATATGTCATTAAAATTGTCTCATGGTATGTTTCATAACAAAACTGCATATCTAGCCACCTCTGATCTTCTTAAAGATGCTTGGACTATCCTACATCAATCTATGCTTCATAACACTAATTTATCACTTTGACCCTTGTCATCTTGATACCGTTAGAGACGTTGTCCCTCTTAATCAGCATAGACGGTATGTAGATGATCATCTCACTGACGCTAGGCATGCACAACCCTATGTTTGGGGTTACATTCCATCTGAGGATGAATGATGGAACATTTCAACTTACCCCATCTCTTATACTACACCTTCATCTCGATGCATGTATAGCTCCTGACTTTGTTGACATGCAACTGAGCATTATCATTCAATTAGTTTGATCAAGATCTAGCTTCCTTTCTGACAGCTCATGACCCAGAAAAAGCTCTTGGATCGCCTCTTTGCACTAAATGAATTCAATGTGTGGAGTATGTAAGTACGAAAGCTCCTGGTGGAGTCATACGGTATTTGATTACCACCTTGAAAAAAGCATAGCATTTCATATCACCATCTCATATGCAAGATCTCTTAAAAGAAAAGTAGCTTCCTTTGAACCAAAAGCGTGCATGCTCTCACTTAAGCTCTCTTGATCAGATATAAGGCGCCCAGACTATACTCAAGTTACTATGACTAGATTTAAAGAACAAGTGTCATGATATGATCTAAATGAGCTTGTGTCTGAATACAAAATTCATGAACGCCCTACAGTCTAATCTTGCTTTAGAAGTTTGAAATCTAAATATCAAATCTATTGAGGGTGTTTGCCGCACTTAGCTTGATAAACATCGTTAGTTACTCCACACATTTCTTTTTCACATCCCAATCAATCTAAATTCTTTGCCCATCCTCACCAGGACTCCATTGACAAGACCCGCAGCCAAGCACTATTTCAATGTTATAGAGCTAACCCATGCTTAGTTCCAAAGCCTGCCACCACGACCTTCCATTAGCTTATGGATTTAGGATTCCAGACTCTTATGTGACATGTTTCAAATGTCACCAAAAAAGACACCGCCACTGATGTAGCACATCATGTGATGAAGATAATCACTAAAAGCCTAATTACAAGAGCTAAGATCAAAGCTCAAAAAAAAAAAGTCAAAGAAAATGCCAAATTATAAAAGCTCAATCAAGAGCCAATAGTTTTTAATATTTTAAATATAATTTATATTTTATTATCTATCTAGAAACTTGTATGACAAGCTATGATATAGTTTGGCATAGATAAAGTATTAAAAATAGGCTAATGAAACTCTTTCTCATTAATGGCAATCTACCCCCTTTCCCTCACTTTTTTTCCTCCAAAAATATATAAGAGTAATATAATGCTAATAAATATAGGCTGAAATATTTTATAGTTTTTATTGATGAATGAAAAATTTTAGAAGAGAAGTGTTATTCATTTACTCGGTGCTCGTGGCTTCAAATCGTTTGCCTATCTTTGATAAGTTAGATAGTTATCATGATATTTTCTTTAAGTTACTAGTTACCCTTCCTAAACACCCGCTCTAATATCTTCCTTTACTCTATTCGCAAATTCTAAGACCAATAGACCAGCAACCAAAACCTTAAAATCATTTTAAGCACTTCCACATAACTCTTAGTTAAACTATAAAACACTTGGGCCTAGTCTTATTCAATACATCTCCACATCCTTTTAAACTCCATCATACTCTACCATCAACTCCATATCATAATTTCACATCCTAAACTAAATTCCACCATCATTTTCAATCATTTATCCCACATTAAAGTCACTCAATAAAATGATCTTCCAAATCAATACAAACTGGACCAATCTTTGCATTCCTACAAAAATACCCCTTCAAACTCTTCATCATTCCAAAATAAACACAAGAACACCTGATAAATATTAAACTAAAAATTCATAGCCTTTACTAGCAATTAATCACATCAAAAAGCTACCCACCACCATCAACTAATGCTTTTAAAATGTTCTTTAAAGCATAAAAAGTATGATTTAAAGAAAATTAGTCCCAATACGTTCTAAATTATGACAATCTAAGGGTTTGTAGTATAAAGCTATGCTTCTCTATATGAAGATATGCTTCAAGATGTGATTTGAAGCGTGAAAAGCATACACTTCGATTTTACTTACCAAATTAAGGAAGGTGAAGGAAATAAAATTGTAAAAAACCAAAAAAAGAAGCTGCACCCAATATCACCCCCTTGCAGCTTCAAGACAAAATGCTTCATATAATTTCCACCTCATCATTCATTCTGTCATATATCGTATACAATATATGTACTTTCTTTTCCCATCAACCTTATAAATCGGCATTTTTTTCCTTCAGATTATTTACCCTATTTTTTCCTCATTCATCTAAGTACAACACATATCACCTATTTTTTTATTAGTCCACTATATTTTAATAGTAAACCACACCCATAGTTCAAAGGTTTTAATTGTCATGTGCTCTTTATTAGTAACTTAAGTTCATTTTAAGCTTATTCCATAATGCTTGTTTATTATAATTATATCCTAACCAGATAAAAAGATATTACACAACTAACTTCATATTAATGTGAACAAATTTTGATGTGTTCCATTAATGGACAAACTAAAAATGGTTAAAACTAGTAAGAAGATATAATAATTTACTATATTATTACTTTAGTTTAATACCATCATAATATATTTTAACATTTTTAATTACTAAAAATTAAAATGATAAAGCTTATGTTTTGTACTTCTAAACTTCTATTGCATTCTACCTTAAGGCCAAATGCTTCGCTTCACACTTTCACTTCTCAAAGCATTACGCACCATGAAGAATTGTCAACAGCACGCCCACTCCTCGATCAAGATCATCTGCTTTCTGGTTAGGATCACTTTTATGAGGAGTCTACTGAGTAAGTCACAGTGAAAGGTATGTTTCTGTAGCCCCGCGCGCTTTTGTTGGATTTGTGGTATATTCTAAAGGTCATGAACAAAATCCCACAAAGATTACAACCACAATTTATTAGGCAACACCTACTTCCATTGCAGATGTTATAAGTTTCAACGATTTGGTACTTTTTCTCGCTAGTTTATCAAGGACTTTAGCACGATCATAGTACCACTGACTAATATCTTCAAATAGACAAGTTTTAGAATGGAGGCCTCTAAGCATATGATATAGGACAAATGTAATTAATTATGAGATGAATGTAATTAAAACAATACATAAATAGTTCTTAAAATATTTCATGGTGAGTAATGATAACATAAAACTAGCATTGAGCACAGACATAATAACAAGAATTAATGAGGGTGAGAATATTCAAGCTATTGGTACCACATTAAATGTTCAATCCTCATAAAAAGTAGAGAAGAGATAGATAAAAAGTTATGAAAGAGCAAACATGTGATGGATTTAAAATAATTGATGGCGAAGCGCTGATAAGTTAAATTCGACCTCTGTAGTCGATCATCGTTAAGATCTCATTCCTTCGTCAGAAAACTTTCTCTAAGGGTTGTGAACTCGCAGACTCAAATAATCCTTTACATAGGAGTAGAAGCACACAAATAGAGTAGAAAACTCAAGAAAAAAAAAATTCTCAAAAGCAATTGCTTAACATTACAAGAGGCCACTATTTATAAAAGCAATAGAGGCAGACCAAGATACACAAACCTACCTCCAAATGCTAAACCACCGTCATTATTTTCATATTGTCATTACCATACCTACCACCATTCCTAATAACATAAACACCCTGCATGAGCCATGAAATAAAAAATACTCAATATAATGTCATGACAAAATGCTAAAATACAAATAGCCAAAAATAGAAAACGTCACAGAAAAGCCCAAAAATATACAGGTCTAACATATAGTTATATTTGGTATAAAAATACTTTAAGCAGACGATGATAATGATGCTCTGTCAGCAGATTAAGGTCTTGATGATGACCTTGCTTATTATTAGACTTCCAAGTATTGGGAAGTTCTTGAAGTATCTTGTGATGCCTCGAATATGAACATAGATTGAGTCCTTAGTTAGGAAGAACAATGAAAATTTAAATGAGACTAGATAGATGTATTATACATATATTCATGAGTTTTATGCTCTTATTCATGTGCAACATCATAGGCACATTGTCTACCACCCAAGGAATCCATTATACTCTCTAATCAACATACACTCAATTTCATAAATTCTCAAATAGAATACTCGACAAACAAAATTGGTTAAGCTCCTTCAAGAGTACAACTTTGCCTATAATTTTGTTAAATCTCCATTTGAGATTGTGCATGGCATGAAACCTAAAAAGCCGATAAACTTGTTAATTTGTTCAAAGCATTCATTTTTTCTATTGCAGCATTCATGTTAAATTTTGTAATTTTCATTGAAAAGTGCACAGACAATTTGAAATGCATAATGAAAATATTCTAGAGCCTCAAGTGCTAAAAAAAGGTACTCATGAGTAAATTGAAGGGTAAGGAGGCAGCAAGCCAAACGTCAGGACGGAGGCAGTTTGGACCTTGGGCGGTGAGAGGGAATAATTGATTTCAAATTGCTTTCAAATTTCAGATTAGAAATCTGAAATAAAACTGTAATTACGTTGGAGAGGGGAGGTATTAGGGAGGTAATTAAGAGGTGTTTAAATGGTGATGAGATGGCAATTAGATAGGGGAGCAATAAGGGTGAGGTGGCCGGCCATAGGAAGAGAGAGAGAGAGCAATCAGATTACTCATGTGGATTCTCCCGAGGAAATCACGGGATTATTAAATCTGACCCGTGAATATCAGATTTAATGTTAAAAAAAAGATTTCCTAAAAGGGCTTGCAGCTAATCCCGTTGGCAGTCACCCATTACTTGAAAAGAATTAACACAGGCCAAATTTCCTAATGTAAATTGAAGTAGAATAGGAAAAAATTAAAGTCGTGACATGGAAATTCAAATTTCGAAAAAACAGGTGGGCGGGTTGGGGCTGCTGAGCTAACCCGTGGGAGGCTTGCCGGCAGAGGCTGGGTTGCTGGCCGGCGGAAGGTGGGCTGGCAGGAGGATGAGATGCTGGCCGGCGAGAGGCTGCAGCCAGGAGGCCAGCAGTTTTGGGCTGTTTTGGGTAGGCGGCGGCGGCAAGAGCAGGGGAGGGAGAAGTGGAATTCTAGGAATTCGACAACTACGAATTTACTAACCTCAAATGTCCTCACCTTGAATTTTCACAAGATTAGGAAGTACGAAAACTAGAACTCACAAAGAGATCTAGTCTTCTCCGGCGAACTAGAACTCACTAAGAGATCTAGTTTCCTCCGGCGAACTCACTAAGAGATCGTGGGAGAAGATGAACTCACTAAGAGAACAAGAATAAATTTTCATTTCATCAAAACTCAAATTACAATGCATGAGGCCTCATATAAATAGGCCAAAATGAAAAATTAAGAAATGACTCAAATGCCCTTCCGGGCTACATAAGCGACTAAGGCCCATAAGGGCAAAAACGGAAGAACATCAAAATAAAATACGCTACTACATAAAATGACAAAATACAAGTCATGCTCGTGGCCGTTGATCTCCGGCGTCGAAAATGCTGGCGATGTCCTCATCACATTGTCTACCACCCAAGGAATCCATTATACTCTCTAATCAACATACTCTCAATTTCATAAATTCTCAAATAGAATACTCGACAAACAAAATTGGTTAAGCTCCTTCAAGAGTACAACTTTGCCTATAATTTTGTTAAATCTCCATTTGAGATTGTGCATGGCATGAAACCTAAAAAGCCGATAAACTTGTTAATTTGTTCAAAGCATTCATTTTTTCTATTGCAGCATTCATGTTAAATTTTGTAATTTTCATTGAAAAGTGCACAGACAATTTGAAATGCATAATGAAAATATTCTAGTGCCTCAAGTGCTAAAAAAAGGTACTCATGATAAAATTGAAGGTGATTATGCCATGATTCATATATATCCTAAACGCTTTGCCCCATAATTATTAATCATATTTTTTAATAGAAGACATACAACTTATCAAGATACTTTCAAAACTCAAAAATTGGAGACTAACACTTCAATAAGAATTTTTTTTGCGCAAGTCAGTTTTTCCACTAGGTCCAACATTTCTAGAAAATGAAGGTCTCAACAGCAGAAAAAAATATTTGTGGAAAGCATGCTCAGCACAAATACTTAGATGAAAAAACAAGCCATTAGGATGACCCAATAAAATCTCCAATAGATAGATTGCCCCCTATATGCTTGATTTGTACATAAATTCTAATTCTCTCAAGAAGAATTCTTCAATTCAATGGGGAATTGATGCAAAAACTATCTACAACAGATTGGAACATGCACAAGGAGTTCAAGTCAAGAACAAAACAATCACTGGGAGTCAGGCCAAGCATGAGATAAGCACTTGAAACTAGTGATCAAGATTTTATCCTAATTGGAGCTTGTGGCCAGCTATTGCATGAGGCAACCATCTAGGCCAAAATTTACCTTGTATTTTTTATTTACTTTCTTCTATATTATTATTTCATGTGGACATACATAAATAAGGAACTATTGTTGCTGTTGGATCATGGATGATGATTAATGATATTGATTAAAGCTTTGTTTTGAGAAAATTTAGTTCTTATCTTAGCATATTATAGCTAGCCAGGCCCTCCACTTTTTTAGCATTTTTTGGCCTCTCCATTCCTCCCTTCTCATATCATTTGTTCAAAAAGCTCGACAGCAAAAAACATTGAAGGAGTATCCAAGTTTGAAGTCATAAGCCTAAAAAATACTTCCATTGAAATCCTTGCCATGTTCTTATCATTTAAATTATTAAGATTTTCATCATTCATTGATCTGATGTGTTTTTGATGCATTGACATCATTGTTCCTTATCTTTTTGGCCCACAAATAATCTCTCTTTGAAACCATAAATTTTGAACCCAAATTAATAACCATTAGCCTTCAATAGTCATGATTTTTGTGGTGATGAATTGATTTCCTTAATCACCATTAAAATACTTAAAAAATATCTTTATTTCGGAAGAAAAAATGCCTCGATATAAAGGTAAAATCAAACAATGTTGAAAAATATTACATCATATTACAAAACTTGGATCAAAAGGTGTTCATAATGTCAATTCTACAGTGATTGAATTGTCAAATACTACAACCAATTATGAAGCACAAACACTTCAAAAAAACCTTTCATGTCTAAGCCAAACACATGTTGGACATAGACATGCCCCAACACACTAAAATAAGCATGGTGTTTTCTTTGTACACTATTATGAAAGGCTATAGACACACATGGTGACATTGATTCTTAATGCTCAAGGTACTAGGCACCAGCCAAAGTGCTCACCTGAGCAGTATGAGACCTTAAAAAATTTCACTTATCTTAATTATAAAGAAAAACTTTTAGGCAGTTGATAGGAAGTGGATGCATAACTTGTGAAATTCTTTGGCTGAATTTACAATTTCAACAAAACAGGAATTGGTAACAAGTAATGAAGAAGAATAACACTCAAAAACACTTTTATTGGATTATATATGAAAGAAAAGACAAGATACAGTTGAATCTTCAATTGGAGAGGAAGATCCGGCTCTCCCAAATATCTAGACACCGCTAGAGCCCAAAGCACCCTAAAAACACTACAATTTCAGCAAACAAGACCTACCCCTAACCCTAGAGAAATCTCCTACTTAAAGCAAACGATAAACAACAAACACCCAAATAGCCCTCCCCGATCCCCTCCCAAATCTACCATATTTCTTTAATTATTTCCCCCCACAAATCAGCCCCCAAATCTGCCCTCTTCAATTAGGCAACATCTCATAATTAATCTCCCCAAATCAACCCTCTTCAATTAGAAAATATTTCCTAATTAATCCACTCTAAATCAGCCCCCAAATATGCTATCTTCAATTAGAAAATATCTCCTAATTAATTCTCTTTTATTAAGAATCTTTCAAAACAGCTCCCACTTCATTAGAAAACTTCTTAATTCCCTCCCAATCAAATCAGACAATCAGTTGGTCCATCAATACTCCCCTCCCAAAATATCACCTTCTCCTCAAGGCAGAACGAATAAACTGCTACTGAAGCACTTAACCAATAGCATTGGATTGAAAAATGAACTGACATTGGGTCAAATGATCCCTGCCACGAGCATCACCTTGATTAATCTCTTCATTCTGGATTTGGGGATGACGGTATAGATGAACACTGATAGTTGGAACTCCATTCAAGATGATAACATACTCGCGTTCTCGCGAAGGATTCAACCCTTGAACTTGCTAGAACACCCCTCCATATTGTTGTAGGAGTGATAGAATCATGTCTAGTGCTTCTATCTTCTCCCAATCTTTTTCTCCTTCCAAATTCTGCAGCTCCACTAAAACTCCCACTCCTTCAGTCTTTCCTCTCCTTGGAAGTGACTCCAAAGTTAACATCTCCTCTTCTTCTCCCAACATTTTCACCTCATGATCTTTCCCTCTCCTTATCTAATTAGGATTTCCTCCACTCCCTTGGTCGCTGGTGACTACCCTACCTACGACGATGCCGTTTTGGTTTGGAACTCGAGCAACTTTCTCATCATCTCTTCCATGATGGCACACTTTTCATCGATCTTCTCATGGATGGCTGAACATAGCTTTTTGAAATCTGAAATCTTTTCCACACAATCTAATTTCAATTGCATGATGGATCTTCATCATATCCCCTTCTAATACTTCTACTTTTCTTTCAGGCATGGGTGCCTGTATCGAACAGCTCTGATACCAATTTGATAGGAAGTGGATGCAATACTTATGAAATTCCTTGGCTGAATTTACAATTTCAGCAAAAACATAAATCAATAACAAGTCAATGAAGAAGAATAACACCCAAGAACACTTTTTATTGGATTATATATAAAAGACAAGGTAAGATACTGTTATATCTTCAATTGGAGAGGAAGATCCGGCTCTCCCGAATCTCTAGACGCCGCTTGAGCCCAAAGCACCCTAAAAATACTACAATTTCAGCAAACAAGACCTGATCCTAATCCTAGGAAAATCTCCTACTTAAAGCAAAAAATAAACAACAAATACCCAAACAGCCCTCTCCCAAATTTGTCATACTTCCTTAATTATTTTCCCTCCAAATCATCCCCCAAATCTACCCTTTCAATTAGGCAACATCTCCTAATTAATCCCCTCCAAATCAGCCCTCAAATCTGCCCACCTAAATTAGAAAATATTTTCTAATTAATCTCCTCTAAATCAACCACCAAATATGATATCTTCAATTAGAAAACATCTCCTAATTAATTCTCTTTGATTAAGAATATTTCTAAATAGCTCCCTCTTGATTAGGAACTTTTTAATTCCCTCCCAATCAAATCAGCTAGTCCATCAGAAGTATAATATGACAATCATCACAATAAAATCTTTAAATGTAATAAAAAACAAATTTTCAAGTTTTGAATCATTCCAAATATCAAAATGGCAACACAAGGCCCGCAAGTTATGTTTCAATTTTAAATAAATCGATAAAACTTAAGTTGGTGGCTTCAATAGCATAAGGTTAATCTAACAGACTAACATTCAATACTATCTATTTTATCTTCTTCATTGCTCATATTATTTTCCTAGTCATTAGATTAGTAGGCCTTCATCTCATAATATGGCTTTTTATACTTTAAAACTAATAAAAAATTATCATAACAAAAAACGTCTTAACGTCAAGCGCCTTACAATAAGGTGATTTTAGGTGGCACTTCAATGATGGCACCTAAATGGGAGGTGTTTTACAATGCTAGAGTCTCATCTCGTGTGGGCAACTAAGTGAGGACCTAACTTACCTTTGAAGAGAACATCATGCTAGTGGCAATGACAATCATTTGTTCCAAGTGATTATTTTAATGGTTATGTACTTTTTTTAATTATTGGTATTTTGTGTGAATGATACAATGTTGATATTGATATTTTTTATTGCTGATTTGTTATTGATTTAGGTGCCGTAGATGACATATTAAAATGTAACTTGAATTAACTCACATCAATTTTTTTCGATTGTTTGGTGATAAATATGATATCATGCTTCACTGTATGATGCTTTAATTTAAAAATATTTATATTATATGTTTTGATTTCATATTTTATATCAATAAATTACAAATTAACAAATTGTGTCAATGGCATGTCGTTCCTACTTTTTATGATTTTGTCATGTCTATGTATCCTTGTCATGTCGTATTAATATTTTGTGTCAGAGTTCATGCTTCATAGAGCAGCAAACAAAGACACATATAACATATAAATATAGCACCTAAGCATCGGAGGTGTCGTTCTTATATTGACTGAACTTACAAGTATGAAATATCAATGAAAAACCTAATGTTGGTGCATCTAATATAGTACCAAGAAACTTGTAAAAAACACTAGATATGAATGTAGGGTAGAATCTAAACTATGATAAAAAAACTAAGACTAAAAACAAAAGAAACAAAGATTTTTATAGCACTCACACGTTGATAATGTTCCAAACATAATTAGCATGGTAATATGTTTTAAATAATTCACATAAGCAACACAACTTTTTGAATCCATAGATAATTGATCACACGCTCATTTTTTATATTTCATATCAAAGAGAAAAAGCATTGGGTTGTTATGTCATTGTATTAAGATGTGATAAAATTTTCAAGTATCAATGCACCTATATAATCAAGTGATGCAAAGGGGCTAGGCAGAACGGACAAAATTTAGATAATGCAACATGCAACACAATATAAAACATCTTAAATGCAGCACAAAAAATGAAGGCTTCAAAGGAGCAATGCATAACTAAATTTGAAACATAAAACGAAATTTCAATGAAATATACTGATTCACAATTAATGAACATGTTCTGTTGATTTATTTTATAACCTTTATACTAGCTGAACTTGAAAAAAAAAAGTATGAAAAGGCAAAGAATATCATAAAAATAAGTTCCATTTTCACTCAACAACTCTATTCAACCTATATAAGCATGACAATCCCTCATTAACACCTTCGAAATTAAAACAATATGGTCCATACCCATCACCCAATAATCTTATGTAACATTACTGCATGTGTTTTAACTAAACATATAGCATCATCCCGTTTACAAAATAGAATTAAAATTCTGTCTTCCAAAAAATGTATGCAGTTTGTCAACTAAATGATATTCCAAACAAATCCAAATGCTAATCCTTCCGAACATCTGCACCTTGTTAGCACTAGTTGGAAATTCCCTGCATTTTCATCAGTTTATTAAACCAACACTAATGACAGAAGAGTAGTAATGAGAGGGATGATGAAATATATTGAAACATAAAATGAAAAAAAAAAATTGTTCATTGTAAATAATTTTAATGGTGAACTGGTCAACAGTAAACTTTCAATCTAGTATTGATGATTTCTGATAAATAAATAATAAATGCGAGAAATAATCATTAATTCTGAAAAAGTTTTACAACCCATGGAAAGGGAAAGAACGCATTCACAACAACCCTAAATGCTTTACATGCTCTAGAGCAATCCAAGTTGAGTAGAAGAAACAAAATATGTCAAAACACAAAACCAGTAAAACGAAATGCTAGCAGGTTCTACTCCACTTACTAATTAGGCACGAAAAGCTAATTGCCCAGCCAACGTAGTCATTACCGAACAATTCCAAGCTTCAGCCCATTTCCATGGCTCTCATCGCCCACGCCTAGGAAAACTAAAGTTGAAAAGGAGAGATCAAACCAAAATCGAAGAGGCAAACTAATACCTCCGGAAATTCAGTAACAGTCAGCTCTAAACGACAAAAGACCGGAAACCATAGCCCTGAAAGCAAAGCTCAAGATTCAGTTAAGTCAAGAGAGCGCAGCAACCTACCTGCCAAATCCGAAAATAGCAAAATATCTCAAGCTTTCTAGAAAGAAAACAAAAGAAAGAGATGAGGTTAGAAAGAGGAAAACACTGCGAGGAAGATGATCAAAAACCCCTCACCTCCGATGTTTATTCCAGAGGACAAAATAGTGACGAATCTCCTTCAAACTCTCTCCGTCGTTCGTCTGAAACCTACTTCTATTTTTTCCCCGGTAGATTTTTTCCTTCACTCCTTTTTTCTTTGCCTTTCGATGCTATTTTGGTCACAATTTCTCAGTAAAATCTCACTCGCTAACTCACTCTCTCTATATCCACCATGGAATTCTGAAGTCTTGGGTCCCCCTTCCCGGCTTTTTGCGTCCTCGCAGGGGATTAGACGATTAGTCACCGGGTTTGGGCAACATGAGAAACAAATTGTATAGGGTTATTTTTATCAAGTTAAATTATTATTTTTTATTTTCCAAAAAAAAAAAGTTTTTGTTTTATTCATTTAATTTTAATTATATTATTAAAATGAGAGAGGAACTTGATTTGATGTTATGTCTTATTTTCTTAAATAATAGTGGGGTAGATTTAAACTAATTAGATGGAATGCTATTGTGATAGTATATTTAAAATATAATATTATTTTTATATAGATAATTTTGATATTTTGATAGCAAGGTTTTGTAAATAATTTAAATCAAATAAATCCTTAGACTCAATTGGATGGTAATCGATAGGGGTGTAAGTTAGCTTAGACTACTTGCGAGGCGTCTCAAAGAGGCGGCTCGAATTTGACTAGATAATGAACTTGTAAGCCAATATTATCGAGTCGTGAGTTTGAGCACGAGTTTAAACTAGAGCGCACCTATTAACCGAGCCGAGTTCGAGCTTGATGAGGCTCGACTCATGAGTTTGTGAGCTGGCTCGAATGACTCTTATGATTTTTCTTTAAACAATTATTATTTTTAATAAGTTTGAATGTTTTAAAAAATAATGATTAAAATTGCACCCTAATAAATGATGCATAAGTAATAATTACAAGAGATGCAACACCTTCTTAAAAATATTTATAAAACATTAAAGACATGTTCCCAAAGAAAAAATGATGCAGTCATTAATTGGAAAAGAAAAAAAAAAGGTGCAAACATTAATTGTTCCAATTAATTAATTTAAGGTTCGGAAAAAAACCCAACAAGTTTCTTCTACTATTTTATTGTGTCAACAACAACGTTGTCTACTTCTTCTCCTTCTCGTTGCTGACGTATTATATGGTTGCGACTTAGGCCCTTCTTCTATAATCGAATAATCAAGTCGAGCATGAGCTTGAATTTTATAAAACAAGTCGAGCTCGAGCTCACTAACGAGCTCGAGCTAGAGTTCAAGCTCACTATGAGGTAGACAACCTCAGCTCTATAATGTCAATACTCAACTCGACTCGACTCATTTACACTCCTAGTAATTGATGCATAATGTTGTTGTATTTCAATTTCAATTTGATATGTATTTTAATTTTCAATATAATTTCATACCAACCCAAGTCTGAGAAAATTTAAGCACTATATTGCAATCAATAAATCAATTCATTGTCAAAACTACCTTGGCAACAGACCTAAGGTTAACTTAACTTCGAAAGACTACTTGACCCATTTTTGACATTGGGTGGACATAAGGCTGATCCAAGTCAACCCAAATCTAAGTTATAATCCTAATATAGGCTTATCATTAACTTATTGGGATCTAATTGATAATTGAATCCAATTAGTATAATTAAATTTAACCTTAATATCTAACATATTTATTTATATTAATTAGGTCCAAATATATATAATAAGATATACATTATATCATATAAATTATAGTGTACTTATAACCACCCCCAAATTTAGTCCCAATTCTAGAGGTTTCCTAAACCACATGAGTACCAAAATCATATAAAATATTATACCCAACTACATACATAGATTGCCACTTGAATAATGTATAAATTCTAGAGTTGACTCATTAAGTTTGAATTAGGTTTATCATAAATATTTGGGTTGATATGTTAGGGTTAACACATCTAGCTTTCTTTTGATCTACTATACATGTTAGGTCTAACATGTGTGCCCCAAGGGGTAAATTGGAATAATTATCATTTTATATTTTAATCATCTACAATATCTTCTATAAAATCATCAATATAAGTCAATGCATCCAACGAAAGCAACTAAGCATCGTATACATTAAAATCTTCCACTATATTTTTTTTTTTTCATTAAAATCTTGTTTATAATAGCTAGGAGATCATTACAATAAATAATATACCACAAGCTTCTGACTAAAAAATAATAAACAAGAATACAAAATATATCAACAGCTGGAGATTTCAATTAGCCTCACTCCATTGAGTCAAGACATATTCTCTAACCTGAAATCAAGTAAATCATACAATAAGCTCGCAATGCCCAACAAAACCCAAAACTCACTAAAGTTTTCAATGGAAGATTCAAGAAATTAATATGCATGCTCATCTCAATCAATAAAATTCATATATTTTAATAATCTATCAATGATTGTTTATCAATACTACTAATCAATATGATCAGTAACGAAAAACAAGAATCATTATGCTAAAATTCATGAATCAATGACATGCATGAGAAAATAAATGCATCAAAAATCAATTAATCCATGTAGTAGGAAACAACATAGCAGTATTGCAATCCTTCAATATAATATGAATGGACATGAATGAGAAATGCATTAATCATTTATCATTTATTATATATGCTATCAATATATGTAACAATATAATATAATTCAGCAAGACGGTACATCTAGCTTTAATGTGGTACTTTCATTTTTTCATCTATCAACTATTAATCTTTATCATTTATATTTATTAAGTCAATTATCATTATAGGTGACTTTCAATAACCTATAAAGACATTCATTCTCATAATCTCTCCATTTTTACTTTGATATGATCTCAAGCCAAATGACTTGTAATCCATGGTTTTTTTATGGCATTTGGTATTCCAAATCACACAAAATTATATTTGATTGTTATGAATTCCTAAAGTTTGTAGTTTGTACTAGTATAGCCATCTTACCACACACATATATACACATCAATGCAACTCTTTGAGCTCTACAAGGTTTGCATTGTATTATTAATTAATCATATAATAGGTTCTTAAAAAAAAACATTTAAAAAGTATTACACTTTCACTTATTATAATAGATATTCTACTATTAAGATTTACTATAATAACCCATTTAATTTAATAAATCAATACTTTCCAATGCATATATATGATGTTGAATATAAAGCTATTGGAAATTTGGATAAAAGGCATTGAGAGTTAGTTGTAATAATCATCATATTTAATATATTCATTTTTCATGTTATATACTTATTGCATATCTAAAAGTGCTTGAAGATCTATGATGCCTTATCTATAGTAGCTAACTACAATGTATATTTGTTATATTATTTTTTGTCTGGTCATTCTTGTTAGGATCCCTATAAAATGCTTCAAAAGATTAAAAAAAATATCAAAATAATTGTGAATTTTCTTTCATTTTGACTATTTTTATATTAAAAATATTAAAATAAATAATATAGTTTATAAGCAGACTGATATCATAACATTTGGATGTATACTCCAAGTTACAAATATTAGATTTAGTAAATAAATGTTTGTCAAAACACATTCATTTTACATGCCTTGAGATCTGTATTATGCATATCCAAAATAGACATTACATCTTTGCATTGTATAGTAAACCCTCATATCTATTTGGGTTGTCTTATCAATAGAACATGATCAGATGAATTATTTTTCCTTGTTATTTATCATCCTATCTTAACATCTTGAATTTGAATTTTAATTTCTGCAGTTTTGTAAGATATCCTTTATATAAAGGATATAAGTCTCATTGATAGCCTTCATGAACCACATTCGTAGAAATCAAGTATCTATAAGGGTGTTCACTTATCTTTAAATCCATTCTCATTTCAACATTTCTGTTTAATTGCTAATGGAGATATAAGCTCAATCTCATACTATGGGTCAATTCATGCATTCATTCTTTCGAGAGTGATAATAAGTAGTCCACTTAATTGGCGAGTGATCCCTTTATAAAGGATCATAAGACCAACCTTTTCATATCACCATGCTAACGTCATATACATATCTCTCTAGTTTATCCCCATAATGAGTCCCTTTGTGCTTGATTACTACCCAAGCTTATCCCCTTTGATTAAGATTATTGTCAAAATCTCCTTTTATGTTAAATAAAAAATACATAAGAATATCATTAATAATGTTTTTTTAGTATCACACTCAATATGCAATATGCCATAATGCTTGCATCAATAGGAAATCATATCCCATTATATTTAAACTCAACTTGAGCTTTCATTTTACTACTGAAAAATATGTCTACGATCATTTTTTTCATCTAGGGTTGTATGATCTAATATTTTCTCCCTAAACGATATGAGACTATTTTCAAATTTCATAATGATCACAAGTAGCTTTTTGTTGTAAATCTTGACATATTGATGTTGGGATAGTAATCCAAGAAGGTTCAAACCATGCTTGATAAAAAAGCATCATGCAATGGCCATAGTGGTTGTAATGATCACATATGCAGTGTTGGGCTTACCTTTGATGACCCAAATCAAATCTGGTAAGATTTATAAGTTTATTAAGTATGTGTTAAATTATCATAAATTTTATAATTATTTATACATTTAATTTATTCATAAAGGTTTGAAAATTGAATCATAAATAATAATTTATTAAGTAGAAATTCCTCCTTGAGAGTGCTATAGCGTTGCAGTGGCGGTGACGCTCATTCTATTAATTATTAGGCGTTGGGGAGCATTGTGGTGTTAAAGAGCTGGTACTATGGTGATCCAGCTTAGGCTCTCTATTTGGATGGCAATATTTTCTACTTAAGAGCCCTGCAACATTGGGTTTTTTAGTAGTGTGATATTATGCCTATAAATATTAAGTTCATTTTGCAAAACTTGTTCTCTCTTTTTCATCACTTAGACAGTTGACTGGATAGAGAGGGAGAGAGAATCCTGGAGAGTGAAAGTGGGATTTGGATGTTGTAAATCTGATTTTATTCGACAAGCCAGTTAAAAAAGTTGTTTGTCTCGAAGTAGGTTATTGTTATCTTGCTTTGCATTTCAATTTCATTGATTGTGTGTATGTTTTTCATGTTTTATTTGATTTAGTTTGATATGAACACTAAGATTTTAAAAGTTTTCAATGTAACTTTTGATATATGATTGAATGGATTATTCTAAGCATGTTGACAAGAAAAACACAAAAAATTTCACCTAGTATTTTTTATTGCATTATGATTTCAGTACTTTAGCGGCTATATTGACATTG